TGGGATCGAGGTTTCTGCTGCAGGTAGTGTTTGCTTACAGTCTGAAGCTCATGACAATAGACTGCCTTAGGCTCCACGTGCTTTCTCGAAGTTATTGGACCACGGAGAGAAGGAGGTGAAGTCAGCACAGCTGCCTGGGCCCAAAGCACGTCTGTGACTGATCTAAACAAACAAGGATTAGGACTCTGGTCTGCACCACAGACCAAACCCATAAAAGAGGGGAACTGAGCATCACTTACATCACGGGATGGTTATGCAGTACCATTTTGTAAGTTGTCTGGGAAGAGCATGTCCCACAGACACAACATGAGAGGGTCACAGAGTCATTTTCCACGATGTCTTATTAAATGGGAGCCAAAATATTATCAAATATCTGTTGTTTAGAATCAAGAGTGTGAGCATCCTGTTGGCAAATAAGCAAACAGATTTGAAATCAGTTAAGGCTCAGACACACCCAGACATAAATTCCTTAAGTAACAAAGTCCTTATGTTGTCTTTTGGGAAAAGCTCTCAGAATTCACTCAAGGACCGTTTGAAATAGGCTTTTCAAGAACAGACATGAAAAGAAGCAGCCAGCTCATAGGGTCAATGGCCTCTGGATATCACAAGTGCAAAGACCCCTCAATAGAGCATAACTCCCCTGAGACATGTGACCTGTGACAAGGCACAATGACCATCCACCCTATGCAAAACAAAATAAAACCTAAAACTGGGCTGCAGGTCTATCTCAGTAGCTCAGTGATAGAGCGCTTGCCTAGCCTGTGTGAGGGTCTGGGATCATCACCGGCACTGCAGTGAAAAAGAAAAAACACCTAAAACTTCTCCCTCTCATCATTCAACCAACAAGCAGTTTCTCCCCTCTTCCTTCCCATGAACTCCCCTGCTACCAACCATCAACAGATGGGAAAAGCTTTCTTTTTTAATTTCCTGTCCACTTGACAGTTAACCTTCAATAAAAAGTTTTTCCTTTTTTTAAAAATCAGGTGCTAGAGAATTGGCTTCTGTGTGAGCTGGGCATCAGCCCCCTGCTCAGTATCAGATTATGAGACCTACTAAAGCAATTGTTTTTCCCAATGGAGTAAATAGGGCCTGAAGTGTCATGATGTGAAGGATATGCTTCCTAAGGGTTTATACCCTTCATAAAACAACATCTAAAAAGGACCAGAAATTCTATTTTGAGAGAATTAAGTTGTGTGAGCCTTCAGAAGAACTGGGACATAGAACTAATTTGTTTTTATTTTTATGTGGTACCGGGGATAGAACCCAGTGCCTCACGCATGCTAGGCAATCGCTGCACCACTGAGCCACAACCCCGGCCCCATAACAGCATTTTTGCTAAAGCCAAGTTCACCCTGACACATTCCTGCAGTGGCCCTTCTGGGGACCAAACCTAATGGTGTGGACCTAGGACCCTGGTCTATGGCATAAGAATTCATGTCAATGCCCATATTTTTTTATTTTATTTTTTTAATCCATCAAATGGGAAGACTCCTGGCACCTTGTTGCCCAAGAAGTGGTAAGGAATAGCAAACAACAGTAATGAATGAGCCTGAAGGAAATTTGCAAATGTGCTGTCAAAATGCTCAGGACAAGGACAGATTTTCCTGGTCATGAGGTTTCCCCAAAGTTAGAGAGTAATTTGTGCAGCCTGTCAGTGCAGAACTGACTAGGGGGTTGGAGTCTTTGGTGGTCTCCCTGACTTCCCTGCATGCCTTTCTGAATGGTGTCACCATTTAGGATTGATTTATGGCTTTGGGATTGGCCAGCAAGCCCATGCTGTGTAATGGCTGAGGTTGGGAGCCTGTTCCACGCCTGCATCTGTCATTTGCAAAGGCAATATCATTTGCAAAGTCAGAACCATTCAGGGCACATCCAGGGTGCCTGTGGGAGCACCAGGATGGGTAATGAATCCAAACTCACTTTCCGGCTTGCTCACATGACAAATCGTCTGGTACAGTGATGAAGAGAAATGAAGACAGGCTATATCCCCTCTGTGCACATTCCAGTTAATTTCCCAGAAGCAAGCACTAGTAATGCAGGTTCCAAGCATAGAGTTGTCTAGGGTGACAAATGAAGAAGCAGTGGGATTTTTGTGTTTTGGTCAGGTGGGGGAGGGTAAAAGATATGAGTTTGATTTTCTGCCCCCCCCAGCAAGTGAGCAGAACAAGAAGAAACTATATGGGTAAGAAACTTCCCCTTTCGAAGGAACCAATGCAAAGACTAAGTTTGACACCCTGAAAGGTGTTTAGTATGCTAACAAAATGCTGCATAATGTGGCTTCAGAGCACTGATGGAATTGATAAAAGAAATCTGGGCCATCCTGCTGTGCTGGATACCCCTGCTGTGCAGAGCAAGGCAGCTAATATATTATAGAGCTTGATGAAAAGGGGGAGTAGGTCAGCCACGTGGGCTCAGAGCTGCCAAGGTCTCTGAAACTGTGAAAAGTGATGCAGTTTGATCCTGCCACCAACTGGCTGGGTGATTTGAGTAAATCTTTGTCTTATCTTTCTGTGCCCTGAAAGAGGATAGTTTCTAGTTGATTAATCACTTTGCAAATACAATGTGCAGACACCAAATATTGAATAAATGCTATGGCTGAGAATCTGAGAAAATGTTATGGCAAAGATCTTTCAAAGCTTATAAATAACAATGGACTGTAAGGACCTAGGGAGAGTATTAAGGACCATGGGAGTGTAGTAAGGACCGAGAAATGAAAGAACAAATGTACTAGCTAATGGGTGTTTTGGGAAAGACATTGCTGGCTGGCTTGTGAGGTTGCCATGCTACCATAACTCATCATCAATGGGCTTCTCAACAAGCTCTTGGTGATGTAAGTTAGGTAGAGAAAGGACGGCTGATAGAAGTGTGTGAGCATGGAGACCAATGATTCCACCAGTTGTCCTGATGCAAGGAGATAACTCCATCACTGGGTCTCCTGCAGACACAGCATTTATGTTAAGTCTATGCTTCACATACACATAGAAACACTATGATCATTACTCTGGATGCCAGAACAGAAGGAAGGGAACTCCTGGAATTGAGCTGACAGATGTCTGCAGGGAGTGGGGAGTGGGGTGGTTTCATACTCCTCCTTCTAAGAGGGCAGGTGGCTGGTTGTTAAGGCTAGCTGATGTTAAAAATATGTTTAATTTAACAAGAGACTTTAAACTAGTAATAAAATAAGTCTTAATGTTTCCCTATTTGTTTATAGTAAAACCTAACTCTAACCATAAGGAAGTTACTTTATCTAAATTAAAAATAATTTCATGAGTATATTCATTCATCCTTCCCACCATCAATTCAACAAGTATTTATTGAAATCATAAAGGAATGTCTCTCTTTAGAAACTATGTGAGCGATACAAAATACATAATCAGTGACCTCATAAGGTGGTATCTTGAATTGCATCTCCACTATGATCTATTGTTATTATATTTGCGGACATGATTTTCATTTTATAGAAACCAACAAGGACCTCCTTAATTACCTTCTAAGTTCTCTAGACTTGACATTCCTCTCCAGATCTTCCTTCCTTCCTTCCTTTTTTTTTTGAACTCACAAATTGAGTTTGTTTAATAGCAGAAATGACAGAAATGAAACTTTATAAAACTTAACTTGATTTTTTTTTTTTTAATGACTTGGGAAAACCAAGCCTTACAATGGCTTGGGAAAACTATTTCTGGGTTCATCAAGTAGGATTCCAAATTTTAAGAATTGTGATAGACCAGAATATAATTACCATTTAAGCTTCTACAAGGTCTATTTAGTAATGGTCCTCCCAGTGGAGAATAAAATCACAGTGTTTTTAGTGGGTCTTATATCCACTTAGGACAGAGGGAAGGAGAACTCAAGGACTCAGCCTGAATCTCAGTTACTACAGAACAAGCTGCTTGATTTATCTTTTTTCCTCCTATACAATAACTTGAATTTTGTAGAATTTTTATAGATTAAAAATTGATTCCATATATTTTTACTTATGGCAACTCTCTAAAGTAGGTATTATTTCCATTTAAATAGATAAGGATAGCCTTATTATTATGATTATTATTATTATTGGTTATTTACCATAGTTTCTAAATTCTACCAAAAAACTTTCATATACTAATCTTATATCATTCTGAGTCTTATATTCCTGTGATATAGACAAGATATACAGCTATAACCCTCATTTAATCATTACAAAAGGTTCTTATAACTAGTAAGAGGCACAGATGGGCATTGTCAGAGGCCTGGACAGCCAGTGGAGCATCTATCACCCCACCACATTGTCCAGTGGCAAAGGTGAGGTGGGTGATGGTGGTGAGGGGGGTTGAGCTGGGTCATTTATGAACATAGATGACATGGAAAGTCCATGGCTATGCCAGACATAGGAGTAGCTCTAATTTCATCATCTTGGAGCAATAGCAGAAAGAGAGGAAGAAAATGATATGTGGAACAAACATTTGCAAGTAATAGTGCTGCGTAAATCCCCAAACCTTACAAAGTTTGCTAGGTAGGGAGCCAGATAATATATAAAATTCCTATAGTACCCATACAATAATGGTGGGGGAGGCATACTTATATAAAAAAATTATTTGTTTATCTGGAATCCAAATGTAACTGGATATCTGTATTTTTATTGGTTTAATCTGTTAGTCTTAAAGAAAAGATAAGCCAATCTTCAGCCAGTTGCTCACATCACTATTAAATATACACATCAACACAATGGTGACAACAATCCACAAATAGTCATTGTAACGGGAGACCTCCACTGAGATAATGTCCTATTTTCTCTGAGTAGCCTAAAGTTAGTTTTAAGTATTTCTAAAACTCTCCAATTTGGAAGATGATACATTATACAATGGTTAGCTAATGCTGATCTATGGCTCTGAACTAGTAATTTGGTCCAGACTGTCCCTCTGTGCCACACTTCTCCCTAGATGGCACTCGACTAAGTGTCCCACACCCGGCTCTGGTACCATGTTTACCACACTTATTATTCAAATAGAAGAATCACTTACTTGTATGGGATGTGTTTGCTGCCATTGACGAGAGCGAGGATGACATTGCCCAGTGCAGACAATGAGAGGCACAGCCCTGAACCTCCTTCTCGATTTTTGCTAAGAGCTTTCACACAGCTGCCAAGATCAATGAGATGCAGGCGACTACGACCTCCAGACACTATTGTGGGAGAGAAGCAAAAAGAAGAGAGAATAAGTGAGTTACAGCAAATACTTCTTCATGCAGTTCTTTGGGAAATCTGAGAAGAAAAGGGGAAAGAAAAGGTTGACATTCATGATCTAGTGGAAATCCCAACAAAATTATACTGGATTACAAATAGCACAGGTCCTCTTAAATTCTGTCTACTTCAATCACTGACCTTCCAAAACCTGATATTCATACTATAAACAAATGAATAATTCTAGCAGGTTGGATTGGATGAGGTTTTAGAAAAAGAAAATGTCTAATTAAAAGAAAAAAGGTTTATACCTCAATGTCCTCTGGATAGCAGAATTCTGAAACCCATCATGTTAAAATCTTATTGGCCCACAAGTGATTGTCTACGTTAGTCGATCATTGTAGAGATCCCAACCCAAAGTTCAGCCATGAATCATGTTGATAACCCAAGTAAAATCCAGAAGAAGTAAGAATTAGGTATAGAGAGAGTGAAGACCCAAATATTTGCTGAGCATCTGCCAATTGCCAGGTACTACACAAACCACAGTCTCATTCAGTTTTCATGGTAAAATTATAAATAAAATACTATTATCCTTTTCTATAGATGACAACATAAAACTCAGAAAAATTGGAAAATTTGCCCATGAGTATTTCTGCTTCTGGCTTAGAAGAAATAACAAGGACCAGATTGGTTCTCTTATTTGAAACAACCAAAAAATGAACAAAATGTATAAAAGAATTGTTTGTAAGACATTAGACATCAAGCAGCAAAGAACAATGGTCCCTGAGAAATGGGGAGCTAAGCAAGGCAAATACTACCTATATCTCAGCATATTGCTTTGAGAGAGTTTCCAGGCATGGCTCAGGGAGAGGGGACTCAGGTGGAACCTGGTGGACTCCCTGAGTTGAGGAGAGAGGGGAGGCCAAGGCAATAGTTTACTGGACAGTTGGAGAGGAGAGAACTCTAGAGACTTAGAGAAGGTCCCTTGTGTATTCAACTGAGTACTGATCAGCAAATGCATATGAGGAAAGTACCCACAGCCAGGGAACTGACCATCTGAAGAGAATAGAGGTTATAGTGCACAAGGCTGCAAAAACTGTTTTTCTCCCACCAGCCAGCCTGGGAAACCTCAATATTCAAAGGATTTAGGTAGAGTACTCAGAAGGGTCTTGCTTCAGTAATGAGGGACATTTAGTGCTAGATTGAGCACAGACCTGATTCCATCTAACAAATATTAAAAGCAAAACCATTAAGGATCAAACTCTTTCCAAGTAATCAACTACATCCTCAAATAGAGCTTAAGAATATTTACAAGGTTCAAAAATATCTAGCAGCCAACAAGGTAAATCCAAATGCCTGACACCTAATAAAAAAAAATAACTAGGCATACAAGGAAGCAGGGAAATGAGATTTATAATGAAGGGATAATTGAAACCAACCCAGAATAAGCATAGGTGTTAGAATTGACAGAGAGAGCTATTAAAACAGTCATTAAAACTTATTTCAAATGTTCAAAAAGTTAAGCAGAGACATAGGATATGTATTTTTAAAAGGACAAAATGAACCCCTAGAGATGAACACTGTAATGTGTGAGATAAAAAACATACGGGATACAATAGCAGATTACACATTGTAAAAGGAAAGATGAGTAAATTTGAAGATTTAGCAATATAAATTCTTCAAAAGGAAATACACAGAGAGAATTTAAAAGTTAAAAACAAACAAAAAACAGGTAGACAAGAAAAAGAGCTGTAGTATTTCAAGTATCCAAATATATGTAACTGGAATTCCTGAGGGAGACAGAGTATGTTACAGATGAAATACTTAAAGAAATAATGGCTAAAACTTCCCTAAATTTGATTAAAACCATAAACCCACAGATCTGAGAATCTCAATCAGCTCCAAGCACAAGAAACATGAAGAAAACTACAGAAAGGCACATCATAATCACACTGCTCAAAACCAATGATCAAGAGAAAAACTGTAAAAACAGCCCGAGGAACAAAAATATATTATATACAAAGGAACAATGATAAGTATGATGGCACATTTCTCACTGGAAATAATACAAGTGAGAGGATGGTGCAGCAATATTTTTAAAGGACTACAAATTGTCAAACTCAAAGTATTCACCAATAAAAAGGATCACTTCAAAACAAAAGGAAAATAAAGACATTTCCAGACTTTAAAAAGCTAATAGAATTCACCAAAGGCATACCCACAAAAGATAAACAAAGGAACGAAAAGCTTTGGGAATAAGCACATGGTTAAATACATGTTTTTATTATTATTAAATCTCTTTACAAGATAATTATTGGGCTGGAGATATAGCTCAGTTAGTAGAGTGCTTGCCTCCCATGCTCAAGGCCCTGGGTTCAATCCCCAGCAACACACACACACACACACACACACACACACGATAATTATTAAAAGAAAATAACAATGTAACATATGGGTTACATCAAAGGATATTAGGTAGAGTACTCAGAAGGGTCTTGCTTCAGTAATGGGAGACACTTAGTAGTACTGGATTGAGCACAGACCTGGTTCCATTTAACAAACATTAAAAGCAAGACCATTAAGGATCAAACTACTTCCAAATAATCAATGTCCTCAAACAGAGCTTAAGGATATTTACAGGGTTCAAAAATATCTAGCAGCCACCAAGATAAATCCAAATATTTTACAGATGAGGTATGTCCCCCAAAAGTTCATGTGTGAGACAATGCAAGATCCAGTAGGTAAAGTGATTGGATTATGAGAGGCCCAACCTAATCTGTGATGAATACGTGGAGATGAGTTAACTGAGCAGTAATTATAGACAGGTAGGATGTGGTTGGAGGAAGTAGTTCTCTGGGGGTGTTCCTTTGGGGCTTATATTTATTTTGTCCTGGTGAGCAGGGCTCTCTCTTCTTCCTGGCTATCATGTCCTAAGCTGCTTTTCTCCTCCATGCCCTTCTGCCATGAAGTTCTGCCTCACTTTGGGCCCTGAGCTATGGAGTTGATTCACCATGGACTGAACCTCTGAAACCATGAGCCAAAATAAACTTTTCCTCCTCTATACTGTTCTTAAGAGATCTTTGGGTCACAGCAATGAAAAAACTGACTAAAACAATATATGTAAAGTTAAAAATTTTTGACAACAATAGAACAAAGATCTAAGTGGAGAAATGGAAGTATACTAATGTAAGGTTCTTATTCTATATACCAAGTGGTCTAACATCACTGGAGAATAGATGGCAGCAACTTAACAATAACACTGCAAACCCTAAATAGCACTAAAACCAAAGAGTTACAGCTAATAAACCAAAAAGAGACATACAGCAAAATCACTAAAAGTGTTTAATAAATCAAGAGGTGGCAGATAAAAAGAAAAGAACAAAGAACAAATGAGACAAATGGAAAGCATAGAAAAGCAGTACTTTGCATAAAACCTTATCAATAATCACATTAAGTATAAATAGTCTGCATACTCTTATTAAAAGGGAGAAATTGTCAGACAAATAAAAATGTGTGATTTTATTATATGCTTCCTATAAAGAAATGCACTTCAAATATAAATAAGCAGTAGATTAAATTGCATAAGTAAAGGAAAAGCAAACATTAACCATAAGAGAGTTGGAGTGGATACACCAGTATCAGACAAAGGAGACTGAAGACAAAAAAAAATGTTCTGTGAGGCAAAGAGGAACATTTCATAATGACAAAGAGGGCAAGCAAGAGGCCAAAACACAAACTGTTTATGTACCTAAGAGCAGATGTTCAAATATATGAATGTCTTCCTGATAGAACCATAGGAAGAAATAGATAATTAGAGTTGGAGAATTCAAATACCCATTTCTCAATAACTGATATAACTAGTAGACTGAAAACTATTCAAGATATAGATTTGAACAACTTGTCCTTTATGTAACACTCAACAGCAGAATACACATTCTTCTAAAGGGCACATAAAACATTTCCCAATATCTACCATATTCTGGTCCATAAAACAGATCTAAATAAATTTTAAAGGATTCACATTACTCAGTGTGTTCTGTGACACAATGGAACTACATGAGCAGTGACTGTAGAAAGGTAACTGGAAAATCCCCCAATATTTTGAAACTCTACAACTCAGCCAAATAACTGATGGCCAAAGAAGACAACAAAATGGAACTTAAAAACTGTTTTGAGGTGAATAAAATGAAGATGCAATATGCAATATTTGCAATATGCAAATATATTGCAATATATGCAATATATTTAGAAAAAATAAATTTGTTAGCTTCCCCTAAAGATGGACTTAGGGAAAAAGTTATAGCATTATATACCTATATGAAACATAACAGGAGGTCTCAAATCAATGATTTCAACTTCCACCTCAAGAAGTTAGAAAAAGATGAGCAAATTAAAGAAAAAATAAATAGCAGAAAAGACATAATTAACAAAAAGGCAGAAATCAATGAAATAGAAAACCAATAATTAATGGAGAAAAATCACTGAAACCGAAAGCTGGTTCTTTAAGAACAATGAAATTGATGAATCTCTACCTAGCACAACTGATGTGGAAAGAAGACCTGAACTGTCAGTGCAGGAATGAGGGAGATGGGCTCATCTATAGTTTCTATGGGTATCAGAAGGATAAGAAAGAAATAGTACTCATTCAATTAGACAACTTGGAAGAATGGGCAAATTTCTTGAAAGATAAAAAATACCAAAGAATATTAGAAAATATAAATAAATAGCCCTGTATCCATTAATGAAATAGAATCTATAGTTAACAACCAGTCCACAAATGGAAACTTTTAGGACCAGATGGATAAACTGGTGAATTCTACTAAACATTTAAAGAAGAAATAATACCAATTCTACTCAAACTCTTCCTGAAAATGAAATAGGAGGGAATACTTCCAAAGGTATACTATGGGACAAAGATTCTCCTGACACCAAAAACCTACACATACATACATACATACATACATATACACACACACACACACACATAAAACTGTAGACCAAG